TTTTTTTTTTAAAAGGTTCAAAATGTGCAAATTTATCAAAAAAAATTGAAAAAATACGAGCCCGCGAGCAGCTCGTGGGCTCTGCTCAGCTCGTCTTTCACGAGCCATGAGCTCGTGGATTACAGGGCCGAGCCGATTTGCCATCACTACCACTATGACTTAAATTCTAGTTTACTACATCTTGAGGCTCGATTTTTTAACCTAATTAGGAGACTAAATAGATTTTTTTCTATTTGAAAGGGAGACAAAATCTTGAAAGCAAAAAAAAAAAATAATAATAATAATAATGCTTCTTTATACCGTGAAAGCAAAAATAATAATAATAATTCATGTTTTCCACTACCATTTCCAAGGGCTCTTCTCCTTATCTTGCATTTAATAATAACAATAATCTCTCCAATATAGAACTTCCAAACATTATTCATGGAGCTCTTAAAAACCCAAAATAGAAATCAGCTGATAGGGGAGGAACTTCAAGCACCTAAAAATGTTACTGAGCTCTTAGAAATACCAGAAGGAAAACGAACTCTGGGATACAAATGGATCTTTCATGTTAAATAAAAGATCGGTGGAAGTGTAGACCCGCATAATGCATTGTCAGTTGCTAAAGAGTTCACTCGAACACATGGAATTAACTACAAAGAGAAACTCAACACTATCAAAGTTGTATTATACTTGGCAGCTAATTTACATTAGTTAAGGTATATTTTTGGTATTCTAGGTTTTTTGGTAATGATTGACTTATTAGATTTAGTCCCTTTCTAGTCCCACAATTATTTAAAAAACATCGATTTTTTGTTGTAGGAATGTGGTTCCATTTTCATTTTTTAATGCAATGTTTCAGTCTTTATGTAAAAAGATAAGAAAGCAACATTCAAATCAAATTTATTGCCTTTTGTGTTAATGACCATTGTTCCCTTCCAAAGCAAGTCAAAAGAGGTTTGTCTGATGCATCCATTAGGAATGGACATTTTGGTCCTTTAAACATGGTTTGTAAACGGTAAAATTGGGAAATTGAATGAAACGTATGCCATCATACTCAGAGAGTTTTTTGTGGACTTTATTATTATTATTATAATATTCTNCCCAATCATATTCTCTTTTCAGTAGGCGACTCAAATCAACCAATTATCCATGACTTCACATATTTTTGTTTCCCGCTTAATTCTTAAATAATTTGGTCGTAGCTTCTACCATTTCTGAGACATTCATTTGAACCAAATATTTTTCCACGAAACCAAACCAAAAGGAATAGTTACGAGTCTAATTCAAGTTTAATTTTCATTTGGTCACCAGTATAATGACAATGAAGTTTTAAATTTGCATTCAACTTTTGAAGATGCTCAACAATGTCAATGAACACACATACAAGATAGGGAAAATTGGGAAGTTTTAATGCTTACAAGAATTAGTACTGAATACAACAATTTTCAAGAAAATTTGCAAAGGCTCTCCATGCTATGCTTTCATTCAAATCTTTTACCTGCCCAAGTTCGTTGCTTTACGAAGGAGGCTGCTTTGGCTTTTTAATACTTCGATGCACTTAGAATGTCCTATAGAGATTAAACTCTATCTAAAGGTCAGGAAAAAGACACTACAACTCTCTAGTTTCCAAGATTCTTACAATAAATAATTTAAAGATATTCTCTAAAATATAAAAATTGTAAATACACCCTACAGCTTAGATAAAAACATTCCAAAATATTGTACTCATAATGTCCCAACAATTTCTACACATTGCAGACTCTTTCTTTCCAGCATCTTCCTTGAAATATTATAGATACCAGTCTGCTCCATATAATTCCATGTGATTTTAGAATGTCGTGAACGTACTAATGCAATCCAATTGTTCTTAGGGGAATTAGTTTGGTAAACAAGAAGTATCTATGAACGCATTGAATTATAAAGGAAATGTTCAATTGCCTGGCAATTACATTGAATGCATTCATTTAGTACCATATAAAGAAGAGAATGCAAGATTATGGTGCTTCAAATTTCTCCACCAACAAGAATTAGTCCCACTCGCAGAAACTCATGTTTAACGCTCACATCTGGAACAAATTTTGATAGCAAACTTTCGACTGCTCATCAGATTGCTCAGACATTCTTTTCAACACTAGCGAATTCTTGGAAATTACGAATTAAAGGTGATATTTCAGCAAGCACAAACACTGAAGTGGAGGATATTCCAGCAAGCAAATGTAATTATTTATTCCATAATATCAATGGAACAATGCTACCTATCAGCCATAGTGTTCAACACCAGTCTAGGTGTGGCATTAGAGCACAATCCCATAATTGGTGATCAATTTTGTTTGTTTAATGATCAGCAATAGCATACTGTGGGCTCCACTGCCACGGGTCGAACACTACTGATAGATAGCAGTACTCGTATCAATAACTCAAAAGTCCAGGATAAGACTTCTAATACCTTAAATCAAAGAAAACAAAAGGGGCAGTAGACATTCCTTCAGCATGCTTGATTCTAGTGTCTCGAAAGAAAAACTTCACCGGGCAGTACATGCTAAAAGTACAACTGATTATAGATTTTTCTATGAATAGAATATTAAACAGGTAAACGAAATAGAAATACAACTTATACACTGTGAATTCATGGGAATGCCAATTTCTATAGCCATTAATGATACCACCATGGATAAGGGGAGTCAAACCTAAATAATGTTCAAATTATACTCATAGCAAGCAAGAGATCTAGGGACTTATCCTTCTTCTGCAACCCTTGCAAGACAATCTACGGACATGCAATTAGGGCAAGTGTTCAAAAATATTGTTTTTCTCGAATTAGCCTTCTTCATGACAGTATATAATTTGAGCTTTCATAATCAGGAACGCAGCATTGTTTACCGTTGTCTTGCCACACCAGTTCCATTTCAACTTGAAATCCGGGTAAATTCAGCATCCAGATTTCATCGCCCTTAAATCAAGAAACTGCAGTATGTAAAGACAAATTGAATCTTTTGTCAATAGACAATTGGTTTCTTGAAATTCATCTATAGATATAGAAAAGTTATATCAATTATTATCGAAATTAAAAAGACAATTAACCCCCATAAAAAATGCTTTACATTCAAATATGTGGCTAGAACATGTTTACTTTGAGTTCAATATTCAATATCAATAACTCTTTATTTACTTAATTCATTTATTTGGTTAGTATTTAGATTCTGCAAGTATCTAGCATTAGCTTGAAGTCATATATTCATAGCTGTCATCAAAGAGTTACTAAACCACATTTATTTATTTCACCATAAACTAAAGATTGTGCTGAACTATAATTGCAAATATTCACAAATGCACAAGTCAATTAATACTATTTAGCAGAGGGTCAATTCCTGAAAAGGACTTGTGACCTATGCTGCTTCTATTGTCATTGTGTGCAAGCTCCCAGTCATACAAAGCAACCAAGCCAAGAGGTAAAGTTGGTGCAGGAAGCCACCATCTCCCTCCCACCGCCGCCGCCCTGAACCCATCCCCAAAAAAAAAAAAAAAAAAACCCTACACTGAAGGCAACAGAAAACTTCACATCTCACTTCGCACCTAGAGTTTTGACAAAAACAGTGAAATATTTCTATGGCTTTTGACTTTTTGATGAGAAGTTAAAAATGATGAAAAATCGTATACAATAAATGAAGTCAAAAAGCACTTTCTCAAATTTGATTGTTCCTCACCTTTAAAAAAATAAGAACTGTTCACACTGCTTAATCAGTAACTAACCCCTCTGAAAGAAAGAAAAATAAGGAAATCAAAAGGTACGCAGGATAAAGTGGGATCCATTTTCTTCTCAAAATCTCTCATTCTTTCTGTATTTGTGAAGATATATTACATTGAAATAGAAGTTTCATCACTCATTAAAAGCGAAGATCTTTTCTTTCCCTTCTCGAGGTATTGCTAATCATCTTTCTTGCACTTTTTCAATTGAAAACTATAATATTAATTCTGTTTGTAGGGATTTGGATACATCAGTAGTTGAATTGAATTCCTAATATGAATTTAAACACTTGTACATCAGTCCCTTTACATCAATGCTTATTGAAACTCAAACCTCAACCATTAGTAATTCTTGTCAACATATCTCTTGGGCCCTCAACTTTGGGATTTAGTCACAACTCTCCAATGTTGGCTTTGTTAGCTTACCTATATAATTTGTATTTCTAATAAAAAAATTGTTTCATTTAGCATCCTGCTTATAGAGATTAGGTTAGAAAAATAATTTTAGTAATAGTAACTAATTATGATATTGTTGCTCACAATCCACCACAGGTAGCTTAAACATTGGCACGGAATATATAAAAAATGAGTTTAGAAGTTAGTACAAAACCTGTTCATAGAGGGCTTTTGAGATAAAACAGAATATTTGGTTCAATATAACAGTCTAACATCAGAATGGTGACTGATATGTACCAAAGAGTGAGATGACCAATCTTTTCTTTTCCCTTTCTGTTTTTGTTGATTATGGATTTTTTTCTATTTTTTAGATTAAAAAGAGAGAGAGAGAGAGAGAGAAAGAAAAGGTAAACTTCTACCTATCATGGCTGGCCCCTAAAAGCAATGAAATTTATTAATTAAATATGGAGAACCTTCTTTCACAGAACAATGAGAAATGATAGTTAAAAAATAAAAATAAAAAAATCCAAAGAAACGAAATAAGATTTGAAATTTATGATGTAGGATATAAGTGTCCAGAAATTTATAAAATAAACTGAAAGACAGGATTCTAGCCTAGCAGCATTAAAAACATAAATAACCTATTATTTTTAAATATGTGATGTCAAAAGCAATGGCATTACATTCTATGCTGGAGATCTATGACATTTCTGAACATTTTCTTGGAGTTCTAAAGCAATAACATTGGCTCTTAGGAGCAAAACCTTTTAAGTGCAATTGATATTACCTTAGAAGCGCCTTGATTTCGGTTGTGGAGGGTATCCAGTCATCCCCATTCCTGATTCTTTCCTTCTCATCTATACAAAATAATAAACTATAAATCTTGATTAGGCAGAAAAACAACCTTAAATATTCGATAGTCTTATCGTCTGAATAGAACCTGGTGCTGTTGATGAGCTTGCGGCGCAACACCTCGCGGCATTGGAATGTTGCCGGGATTTATTCCGCCACCCATTCCTGCTTGGGAAAGGTTATAAGCTGGAATACCCGGAGGTTGCATCCGCTGTATGCCAACCATGGGCATTGACCGAGGCATGGATCTCGTTTGCATTACATGGGAACCTGACATTGCCCCAGATACAGAATTTCCAGATGATACCTGATAATAAGTTTATGCATGGATAAGAAAACATGTTGCTTACAGTAGACTATCATGTACATTAAATGTTGTTATTCCACCGTACGCTTTATAATACCATTTATTGCTATTATTAACACCATATAAACGGCGCTTAAGAATTATTGGGTTTTGATTTTTTATACCAATTATGTCCTTCAATGAATACTACTTCAAGCCAAATCCCCACGAGTTCCTACTTCTAGTTGAGCCTTTTCCTCATGTATCAGAACTTCCACACATCTAGCCCCTGTTTGAGCCCCATGTTTTCAAGAATGCATTTTTTCAAATCTCATTTTCAACCACACATTTTTCCATAAAATAATTATAGATGTATTTCAAAAACGGTTCCTTACTTTTTAAACACACATTCTCCAAAAAATCAATATTCCAGAATACATTTTACCCCAAAAATGAGGATCAAACAGGGGCCCTAATTTTTCTATTCTCATTGCATCTTGATGCTATATCTAAGTACCAATCAATATAGAGTTAACAATCTGGTTAGTCCTGAACATATTCACAATCGTTTCCTAAACTTGAAAATATTTAGTCACTAAACTTCATGATGTTTGCACCATCAGACGTAGATCAATTCCATCCATGGAAACTAACAAGTGGCTGATTTGGCTGACGTTATGGTTATCTGGCATGTCCATGCACATTAATTGTCCAAAACATTCACGGTTGGCTCAAACAATGTTCAACCAAAGGGACCAAACAAAACAATATAGATATTGTTCAGCTAAAAAAAACTTTTGTTCATAAACGACATCCTCTAATTGGGAAACTAGTGTCGATGGTTACACAAAATAAGCATCACGTGAGCCCAATCAAAGATACTAATAGTGATTAATGGTTGAACATCATAATGTTTACTGACGAAATATTGACATTTAAGAGTTTAGGAAGCATTTAGGAGCATGTCTTCTAAGTCCAGGGACATATGCTTGTAAGTTAAGGGACAAACTGGATTTCTAATCTATTAATATATGGAGGTCTTATATTGAAAAATGGGTTTATTCCATTCGGCGTAACTATACTTTAGTATTAATCAGGTAGCTGTACTTCAATTTTGTTTAATCAAATACCTATAGTTTAGTATAATTTGAACCAAGTAACTATATTTTTATTTGATTTCAATCGGATAACTACACTTTAATTAAATTTCAATTAAAACAACTTGGTCCAATTCATTGACACAAATCGATAATGTAACAGTCAATAAATGATGTTCATCACAAGTAACCGTTAGTTACTAACATGAATTATGTCAACTTCAGTAAAATAAATGACTGGCTTCACTTATTAACTACTTATTCACTGATTTTCATTAGTCTAGGTGACGGAATTGGACGGAATTACCCGATTGAATCAAATTAAAATGTAGTTACCAAATTGAACAAAATTGAAGTAATATTACTTTACTGGTACTAGAAGTAAAGTATAGTTACCACAAATGTAATTAAACAACGGGAAAATATAATCAAGTGCATCTAGATCTCATTTCTCTAATCCATGATTTATTATATGGGATTTCACTATATAAATAATAACCTTGCAAGATTTGAACTGAATTAAATAAGACTTCACCAATGAACTTTCCTCCAATAAATAAATTAAATGCTGAGATAAAACGTAGATCTTAAAAAGTTTTATGCTACACTCTTCGAGTAATATCATGTTGGTCCTTCAAATAGAAGTTAAACAATTTGATCCTCGTAACTTTTTATTGTTATTAAACAATACATAATTTACGGAATTTTCCATTCATTGTTTAATTAAGTAATCATAGTATCTTTAATTAGAGATGATTGAGTGATTTGTTTTCATTGTAATATCTAGATTGCATATTAATAATGTAAGCTTCATAAGACATTTAAGTAATTCCATTTTTGTGTAGGCAGGTATTTAGAATTGCTTAAAAGCACTTTTTAAGTTATTTTAGTCCCCATATGAGCTTAGAAGTGTTTGTCATTGCTATAAGCTCAAAATAAGCAGTTAAAATGCTTATAATCCATTTCAAGAAAAGGGCACCCCCACTTTTTTTAAAGAAGTACTTAGGTTATGCAAACTACCCTCTACAGAGGCCTACTATAAAAAAGTGCTTACAAGCCTATTACAAAATTGTGCTTATAATCAGCCTTTTTTTAAAGAAATACTAGGTAGGTTCTAAAATTTGTGCAAGTCAATGACAACAATATTCGAAGGTTTATAGCGAAATTATGAAGCTTAAATAAATTAATTTCTATGATGACAAATTCTAAAGAGGAATGAATTAAAACAGTAACAAAGGAAGTGACTCTTGATGGCTATATACAATCTTACGCATGATCTAGACATCTGATCATTACCATTAAATAATACATGTAACACAAGGAGTTAAAAGCACAAGATATAGCAACTTATGAGCATGTCAACTAATAAAGCTATTCTCTATAAAATTAAAAAATATTCTTATTCTATATATCAATCAAAGTTCTAAGAGGCAAGGCATGGCAAGACAGCAAGATCAAGCAACAAGCCTTACGAGCGTAGGCATAATAGCATGTTGCATTATTTTTATTATTATGTTAATCATTCTAAGATCAAGAATAATTATTTTAATTATTTAAAAAGCAATAGTAATGATTCCTTTTTTTAAGTTTAACCTTAAAAAAAAATAAATGAATAAAGGAGTGCGCCTTTTGACACCTAGGCCCTCATTAGGCAGTCGAAATTTGGTTCACCGCCTTTTTCTATGCCTTTTCCAACTACAGGGTTTTATCTTCAAATCTCATGCCTTTTCCAGCCTTTTAAAACGCTGACCACAGTTTTATACATAAAGAGAATGAGGATGACGAAAAAACATTATGTGTCATTTAGAAGTTTTATGGCATATCAGCATATTTTGTTTAAGTTACAATCAAATAGAAATGAGACTTCGGGGGCATGAAACATGAATCGAATGGAAATTACAAACACTAAAAGGTGATGCTATTAGAAGTTCTAATCAACAAAAAGCAATGATGATTATGGTTTTGATAACTACCTTTATCATTAAAATATTATATTATATATACTAAAATATAATCAACCTTGCCACCGTAATGTAGATGTTTATAGGCCGGTAGGCTTTCTCAATTCCTCTATAGCATTGATACTTCAATTAAAGTAGCATGTTCTGCCCGACATACATTGGATACCGACACTCTTCGAACACTCTGCCGTGGTCATTTTTTTAATTAAAAATATTATATATTTTTTAACTCAAAGTTATTATTAAATAACAAATAAAAACTTATATTTTAAAATTTTCGACAAAAAAAATTAATTGCAAGTACAAAAATTAAATTTATACTATATAAATGAAGAATTTTAAAGAATTTAATCAAAGTGTTGCCGACGTGTCGTGTCATTACATATTTGGAAAACCATGTGTCGACGTGTCATATTGGTGCTTCATAGCTCAACTCTATTAAAAAACAATGTCAACTTTAGGAACCTACAAATAACTAAGGAAACTCGAATCTATGTAATTCAAGAATAATAGGCAGTCCTATAAAATTTAATATATCAGAAATAATTAAAAACCATAAATCTTACTTGTGTCGTTAGAAGACACGAATACCTTCCTCTGAAGCCCCTAACAAAAGATTGAATCATAGAAGTCTAATAGCTTATAAGATAAAAGAAGGAACAAATATCAGCCTAAACTTCAAGACAGCAGCTGTAAATCCTTCATAAAAACCCATGTTTGTCCTAAAGATTTATTAAATGTTTCCACAAGGGATCAAGTTTTCAAATTTCCACAACTTCCAAGAAATTTCTCAATCCAATGCAGGTCAGCAATGTGTCCGCTCACTTCCAAAACATATTTTAGCGCTAACTGTGTCACCCACCTCAGCTATGGCTCTTCGTATGAATGGTTCAAACTTAACTCACCACATTATAACCTGGAATGTGAATCATTGGAATTGCCCAAATGAGAATCACCAATGTACTCTAGGAGTAGACTTCTTGTTTCATACAATAAATATGCTTTCTAAAGCAAAAAATGAAGGTTACTTTTTTAAGATAGATTCTGCTCATTTTTTAACGTAATGCATATTAGGCAACAAAAAACCTAGTATTGCAGCAGCAGGCCTCTAGAAGACATATTTCATTGCAGCAAATTAGGACGTGTGACATCATTCTGGAACACTCAACTGTTAGTGATAAAAATATCGGTAGCAATTTGCTCTTCGTGACATTAGAATTGAAATTTTGTGTAGTTTCAAATTTAAGCAGTCAACAAACTGAACATTAGTAGACATACCGGCTGAGAAGGTTGAAGACTAATTGTTCCTACAATATCAGTGCTTGCGTCCACTGGTCTAGCTGGGTAGTTTACAACTTTCTCTCCTGGTTGTGGAGGTACCAGTGCACTGAGACAATCAACTAATTACTCGATCAAAATATAAATGGACATGTACAATTGTAACTGAAGCAATGAACAAAAGTTACTATGCATGTCATCAGTTATACAACTTCCATACAATGAGATCTAAGCAAGAAAATCACTACATACTTGCATCCTGGCAAAGGTTCCATCCGAAAGTACCTGTGAATTAGGAAAAAGCGAAAGCTTATTAAATTGCAAGGTTAACGCTGGTGATTGATTATGCACTAATGTCCATCATGGTCATTACTACAACACATTTCATGACAAAGAAAACATATATGTACATGACATATATGTACGCATATACATATATGTATGTATGTAACAAAAAGCTGACTTCTAAATATCTTGTTATGCTCAATTTGGCTAGACAACTGAGGTCAAAATCAACTAACCCAACACAGATTTTAGTTTTCGGGGGGTGTGGGGGGGGCAAAAGATTAGATACCCCAAATATTAAACACCACTATTTGCACAAATAACAGTTGGATAAGTTATTAAACACCTCAATTCAAATTAGAATTTGAAATTCTCCAAATAAATACATGTACTACTAAATACAGATTTTTGTTTTTGGGGAAAAAAATTAAAATAAATAAATATAAAAGAAGACAAGAAAAAATCACACGCCCCATAAATCAAACACCACTTTTTGCCCAAATAACAGTTGGAAAGTTAATGAACACCTCAATTAAAATTAAAAGTTGAAACTCTCCGAACGTACATGTACGCTCACTTTTCTCATATCAAAACTCTGCTCAACATAAAGACCAGCAAGTATCAACCAAAAATCCATTGGCAATGTTTCATGATGCGCACTGTACTGATTTATGAGCTAAAACTTGCCAATCACAGTAGAAGATGAATCAACAATTGAAGACAAAAGACAGAAATGCTAGAAGAGAGTCTTTACTGACACGATGTCGCGTGCCTATATTTTATTAACCAGGAATACTTCAATTACAGGCAGGCACAGTGAATTTCAGAAAGTTGAAATGGAGGAGTTTCTGATCATAAATAGTTAATAGTAAATCCATCAACGAATGCTTTAAAAACTCCTAGCAGAATGCTCGTCACTTCTAGATGATGTTCACATCACTTTGTACCTTCGTGGGGGTATAAGGATGGAGGGGTGGGGGGAGAAGGAAAGAGTACATACTCATGCTCAAGAGCCTGTGCAGCTGTTAGTCTTTTTTGAGGATCATATCTGCAAATAAGAACCACAAATTGCATGTCATTGATCAAAAAATAATCAATAACTGTTCAATAATGCGAACAACCAGATGCGACATGTAATGACGTACAAGTAAATATAAGAAAGGAGACATATAAACTGAAGCCAAGAATCCAATCAGTATCAGGGCAAAGAGAAAGAGAGAGAGAAGGTTATTCAATGTAAATCCATGCAGCCAACAATGAGGACTTAGGATAATAAGCATATTCGAAGGGAAACAGTTCTGAATTTATCATTACAATTTCTAGGAATATATAATGGAAATACAGTAATGCTGTTGACTAATTGCTTTCCTGATGTTAAGCATAGCATGAAAGATACAGTTGGTAGGATGCTATGGAAGCTGGAGAATTTCCTGACAGTGTCATTTCTGTTACACTTTTCTATTTAAGGGGGGTCACTTTGTAAACCCTGGAAGAGTGTGTGTGTATATACACACATATATATGCTAAACGCTTTGCTCTTGGGTTCAGAGAAACAAAGCTGTTATGCATTCAAGAACTGGATCCAAAATCTAATTTTCCAGCTCCTGAAATACTTCTTACAGAATAAAGTTACAATTCTAGGGCAAAATATCTCATATAACTTAGCCCCTAACTGACAACCATTAAAACAAAACTCTTTTTTCTCAAACTCATTTTCAACCATACATTCTCACATTAAAATATTCTTCACGTAAACCCAATTTTTTTTTTACTTTTTAACCACATTCTCCAAAAAATCACTATTCAAAAACTCATCCCCCCCCCCCCAAAAGAAATAAAATAATAATAATAATAATAATAATAATAATAATAATCTTTATAATGATTGTCAAACAGGGGCTTAATCTCTTTCAGCAAACATCATTATCAAGTATTTCTTGGCAAACAGAAAGAAAATTCAAATATGCACAAATTGAGAGAAACCCATACTCGAGCATCTTGGAGAGGAGGTCATATGCTGGATTTTTGGGAGAGAGATGAACTACATTGTAGAGACCAGCAGTTTCACTGCAAGAAGAGGAGCAAAAGTATCCCAAGAAAAGAAGGATCATGAAGCCATTGGCTAAAGGTTGTTTAGAAAATAGACCAACCAACTATAGCTATCGAAAACACTGAAATCCAGAACATGGAAGGAAACGAATATAACATACTACTTATGGCCTTGAATGTGTTGTAAATCAGATTGCCAGTGTGGAAGGTTCACTAGTGTAGGCCACTTCTCTTGTGTTGGATGACCTAATGCCACAATCCGTTATCAACTACTGTTCCAGAACAAATTCTAAAAAGAGGTTGACTAAAAACATTCTCACCTAGGACCTTAAATATTTTGTCAAGTTGATCGAGCTGCATTATAAAAATTAATTTTCAGACAAGTAAAAGAAGCCAGAGATAATGCTAAATAATAAGCAAGCTGTTGATTGGAATACGTCTGTATTGCAAAGGTAACAGAAATAAACAGAAAATAAAATATCATACCTGAAATGGGTTAATAGTTCCTTTTACTTCTTGCCCTTGAAATAGTGGTTTCAGAGTCAAAAGCTCAGCAAATATGCAGCCAACAGCCCACATGTCTTTTTTTTATCAATTTGAAAGATATGAAAAATTAGCAAACCGCTAAAATGTCTAATTATGATGCGTATTTTCTTTTGCAGTATAAGAACCATATTTTGTTTGTATAATGAGATGATAATAAGGTCGCTATGAGAATGACAGAACGGATCAAACTGCCATACCAACGGCACTTGTATAGTGTTTTGCACCAAGGAGTAACTCAGGTGCACGATACCAAATGGTCACCACAACCTATAATCCACGATAGAAAACAACAATCTATGAATACAGCAATAATAATAGCAACGCAGAAGAGAAAATAAATCTGATTGAGAAATTCTATTTTTACAAAAGCAACAATTCAACGTAGCTGACCACATTTTGAGTACAGTAATTTTTGTCCATGAAAAGAAAAAGAATAAGTCCTTCCTTTCATGGAGGGATCGATAAGAATTTCGTATCAAAATATTTCAGAGCATATTACATCTCTTAAAGTCCATTCATACTATAAATTCTTAAGTCAATTAAAGAACAGAACAAAGTAAATGCAAAAGCTTATATTGCAAGTATTCTAGCCTAAGTTACTCATCCCTCCAAATTCTAAAATTCCATTTTACCGTTTTTAATGGATGAGGCAAACCACTGATATTTTTCTTGTTTGCAATAAACAGGTCCCTCACAAACCCTTATTTAACGTGGAAACTTGTGAAATAATTTTGAGATGTCATTGTCCTGCATCAATTACGTTGGTGATGTGTTTGATCTTTTAAGTCATAATCCTTATGTTTTGGATATTGTGGTCATTATTTGAATGTGGTTGTTTTCTATTATTAATTTAGGTAGATCGTAATTTCCTAATGATGTTTCTTTGTGCCAATCCTTTTAGGTCCTATTGAGTGATGATATGTGGAAAGTGTAAAGCCTGGGGTTATTGAGTTCCCCATAAATTTTGCTCTACTCCAACCTGAAGGAGTTGCCAGGTTAGAAATCCTAAAAAAGTGGTTTCTGCCCTTTGGTTCTCTCTTCTCTATACTTACCCCACACTTTCTCCTCTCCTTTTGACACTCTTCTTTGAGTCTCTCTCTCTCTCTAAGTATTCTTCTATCCCTGCAACTATACAAAATCTCTCTCTCTCTCTAAGTATTCTTCTATCCCTGCAACTATACATTTTGGTAGGAAGTTTACTAAAACCATGAAATCCAAGTACAAACTCTAAGAGAACAGAGACTGAAGCTTATTTCATAAGACTTGAGAGGGTGAATTAATCAAAAAGTACGTTTAGAAAAGAAACATGAAGAAGGTTTTTCTTATTACTCGATACAGAACAAACACCAAGGTGGTGGATCCTAAGCATAAAGGATGTTGCCAAATTTGGTCTTCATTGCAAGAAAATATTACTGAAGGATAAGATTCCAGTAAGCAGTCATTCTTGTTGCCACTGTCACTGCTTGAATCAAGATGGTAGAGACCCTCATGTTAAGATGGATGGATGGCCATATTAAAATTGATTAACAAGAACTGAGAATATATGCCAAGAAATGGAGCGGTTGCAGAGGATTTAATTTTAATGGATCTTTCGGAATATAGAATGGGCAAATATTATCCTGTAGTGACATTCAAATTCAACAGGGAAAAGGCCTTTTTTTTGTTGCTGAGATCAACCAACTAGACACATCCGTACTATAGGGTGTTAATAGTGTATAAATGTACGAAACAAAGACCTTCAAAGATGGAACATGCTACAATAGGACTAACTGAACAGCCTAAAACAAAGTATAAGACTTAGCCCCTGCTTGGTTTGGATAAAAATTAGATTTTTAGTAGATTTTGATAAAAGTAGGTTAAATGTGTAGCTAAAGTTATAAAATTTGTGGGTTCCTTGACATGTATGATTGAACATGTGTTTAGGGAAAAATTAGAGTGTGTTTAGTTTGCCATTGAGGCCATTTTCAATTTCAGTTTTCTAAAAGACACAAAATGTGTGTGGTGGTTATTTTCAAAAATGAGCTTCCAAAAATAAGGAAAATTTTACAATATAAAACTCAAAATGACTTTTTGACTTTTGAGTGTTTTCACAAAAAACTTGAAACAAGGAAAATGAACTTATAAATTTCTCACATTAAATAAATTAATAAAATCACACAAAACCTACCCAAATACAAATACCCATCTAAACGCATTCTTCGTTTTTGAGAAACGAGGACCAAACAAGGGCTTAATCTATCAAAAATTAAATTTTCAAAAAGGGAAAGAGAAGAAATTTAGAAAATAAAAGGAAAAAAGAGAGGAAGCAGTAAATGTCTTACCCCATTTTCAGATAGTGGCTTTAAAGGAGCTTGGTAAATTCTTGCAAGGCCAAAATCAGCAATTTTTACTACTCCTTGTTCTTCTCCATCACCCATTACCTGGTTAAAAGTTTGGAATTTTCTATCAAAATTATAGAACTGAAGGTATTAATGCATATATTCTAAATTGTACATTAACAAGGAAAAATAATGTCACAAAGTAGCTTTAAAATGCCATGATCCTACCAAGATATTTGACGGCTTTAGATCTCGGTGAACAATCCAGTTACTGCAGCAATAAGAATTCAGCAAGACTATGTTATGAGTTATAACAAAGCAATATTTTCATGTAAATGATAAATCCTAATATTCTCCCATAGAACTATCAAGGGCTCCAATTACTATTCTAAATCTCTGTGACAAGTTCAAGATATTCTATAGAAATCCTGAATGAGTCCTTTTTCTCTGAAAAGAAAGTTAGATTTAGCAAGAAATCTAACCCTTGTTCAAGCCCCATTATCCAAAAATTCATTTTTTTAAAACTCATTTATAACCACAGGTTCTCCCAATAAAAAAAATTTGCACATAAACCCAAAAAATTTTCATACTTTTTAACCACACATTCTCCAAAAAATAAACATTAAAAAACCCCTTTTGGTGAAAAAAAAAATGCATACATATATATAATGTAGTGCTCAAAACATTGTGGTGGTGGTAGTAGAGAACCATATATCCTCCATATCAAGACAAAATAAAAATATGATTAATTTTCTTGTAAAAATCAATGATAATCAACTAGATTGAAAAGAGAATCCAGAAAACAGAACCCCACACATCTATACAGATGCCAAAAGAGACATGCATACCCACAAAGTGCAAAGGTAGATATTGGGCTTTCGAAATTTGGAATTCCACTCCATCTGAACACTACATACTCAGGTTACTAATAAAAGTCCACAAAATGTAACCTTACTCCAACCAAATACATCTCATTAAGGGAATGTTAATCTCACTTCTGCCCTATTAACCAATATAGACACTGTTTACTTCTACTCCAAAATCATTATTTGTTCTTAACGTGTCTTTCCCGTGGTCCACTCATTTTACTTCTTCATCAACAAAGTATTTAACATTGTGCTTTGAGTTTATTTTCTATTTATTCGGTGTAAATTAACTCAAACTTCAATGTTAAATAGAGGGGAACCTTTAAGATAATTCAATCATAAAGGTCAGCCAATCATTATAGAATCATGTGTTCACTAAGAAAATTGAAAGATTAATTATCTAAGATGCAAAATTGAGTTGGGGTCTCTCGATATAATGATATCATTATATTTCAATTTTTGTCCAAATTAACTTGTCAAGAGAAAAAATTAATGCCAATATAAGTTTTTGAAAAGAACAGTGTCGCTGCGAAATAGATAGTAGACTAGGAGTCTAATTTTTCACAAGCAAAATTTTCTAGACAGAAAGGAGAGCAACATAAGTTATTGTCGGAGGTCAAAAGAAGGCATCACAAAGTATTAGCAAATAAATAGAGTATTTCAACTTCATTTCAAATTACCCAATGATGTTCCATTAAGCGAACCCAAAGCCTTGCACTATAAAAGAAGTTACAAAGACTATTTAAAATAAATGAAAAGGGAGGTTTCAAAAATTCTAGCTTTCGTCCTAACCAAATACAACAAGTTTAGTTCCGGACCTTATAAAATCAACTCAACTGTTCAATAAAAAGATTTGATTCATTTAATAGTCATTTGAGATAAAAGTAGGAGCAGTGTAAATGCAATAATTAAGCAGATAATTCTCGTAATCGTGAATAACCTGTGAAGATAATTTAGACCATTAAGAAGCTGCCACAATAAAGACTTGACAGTGTACGGATTGATTGCCTGGTTCACCTTGTCTCTGTGATGTCTGATGATTTCCTGGGATGATTCAGAACTCAGAAGGGGTCAAGCACACAGTGATAGAGTCATCAAACCAGAAAACCTAATTAAAAGTTAAATATGTTTCTCTTAAAATCAGTGTACGCTAATCCATATATGTTATGCCATGCCCAATGACTATTCATTCGTGCGAAAGGTTCAAAATTTACAAAAAGATACAAAAATTGTCCATATCTATGAGGCCTTTTTGCTATTTACAGATTTCATCTTTCATCCTAACAAGAAACGTCTGAATGAGCTTTAATTCATAGTGGTACCAAAAATACAAAAAAATTCACATTCAAGAAATTCGCTGAACTTGGAACACGTAAAGAAATGTAAGACTGAGTTTATGGATGTTGTCGAATATGTAATAAATCTTAGATCAGAAACCAAATTTCACCACTCTCTATTGAACTGAATTTGAATAAGGCAAAGGTTCTCATTATAAAAGTAGGTTTCTCCATTAACTAAAGCATGTTTCACAATTTTTCATAGGTTAAACAGGTACCTGGAGAAGGTAAAAGTTGTGATGGACTGAAAAAAACTAAAAATATAAAAAATTATAGCCAACAAAATGTAAAAGAATTTAACTAAAATCAAAGGAACCGACACCAACTGCAAATGGGGGATGTTAGACCTAAAAGGAGAAAGGCCCATATAAGTTATATTTCTGTTTATCATGATGCAATCATGCAAACCCAATAAATGAGACATCTTGCTTGGTTCCAAGTCATTATTTTGAGAAAGCATATGAATCTTGTAAATCCACAATGTATCTTCCAGGATAACATTCCCTAAGAAGAAATTAAGATTAAGTTAAACTGTTAGCAAAGCACAACATTGCTGGAATTTGTATAGATTAATTTATAATTAAATTTTCATATTGATTTTTTATTTATTCTTCAAAGGTATGTTATATTAATAATACTGAATATTAAATTTATAATACACACACACACACACACACACATATATGGGGAAGGGAAGGGAAGGGGAAAGAGAATTGTGGAAGCCACCACCTCGTATATAAGGATTTTACACTATTACACTACACTCACATGAATTCTATTTCAAATGAAAGTTTTCAAAAATCTTTTGAATTCTACATAAGTCTACAAAAGTTTTAAATGAAAGTCTATAAAAGTTTACGACTTCCACTAATTCCTTACAAATTGATAAGCCTCCTGCATGGTACACTTATCAACGACGTCACAAGAAGAGCGTGGAAGGAAGTTAGAGGGAATACTAGTTGTTAGATCTATTGAGTCACGATTGTTATGAGTCTATAAATAGCGTAGAAAAGTGCTTGAATATTCATTCAGAAAAGAGGAAAGACCTGAATCATTAGGAGAGGGGCAGCTCTCGAAACCTACCTTGTTATTTCTTTTCAATTCAGTCCATTGTTCAATTTCTAGAGGTTTAACTCAGCTGAATTTGTTGCATCTAGTCGAGTTAATTTTCTTGGTCTAAGCAGGTCCAATCACAAATCTATAAAAAAATCCACAAAATTCACGAAAGTCATAACTTAAAAAAAAAGTCCAAGCAAAGATTACTGGAAAGGTTTCGAGATACCTAGTATAGGGAAAAGTTTGAAGCGATGTCGGCACCCCTGAAGAATGCAAGTGAGAACACACTAGAAGAGGTCTTCATTAACGAGTTGGAAGAGAAAGTGCGACAGAGGTGTTGTTGGCATGGCCAGCAGGATTTTCACAAATCATGGATATGGCACAGCCGATGGAGGATAGGAACAATAGGATTAACAAAAAGTGAAGGAATGGGAGCGACCACAAATCAGGAGTAACTACTCTAATTCCCGCGAGGGTCGAGCATCGGACAGTTCTTGGAGCATGAGAAGGGGAACGAATGTGCAGGACTATTTACCTATAGACTCGGATATAATACTAGGAATGCAATGGCTTAGCACCTTGGGCACGGTTCAAGTTAACTGGAAGCCATTAGAGATGAAAATAGCTCTAGGGAAGAGCGCTATTACATTAAAAGGAGAAGAAGGGCTCATTGGTCTCACTAAAATCAATAATCAAAACTTTACCTAAGGAGGGTGAAGAAGTTGTAGTGGAGCTATGCTCGGTGTAGGTGGAGGGGCAACTAGCTGATTCGTACATTCCACTACCGGTGCAAGAGTTAACTGCAAAGTATATGGCAGTCTTTGAGTCACCAGTAGGGCTACCTCCTCTGCGAGGTCATAAGCATGCAATCACCCTAAAGGAAGGGGGTAAACCCATTAGTGTAAGGCCCTATATATATATATATATATATCCCCATGCACAAAAGGCCGAGATAGAGAAACTAGTATCAAAAATGCTGGTGGCAGGCATAATCCAAGCAAGTAGTAGTCCCTTTTCAGGCCGATACTGTTGGTGAAGAAAAAAGATGGAGGATGGAGATTTTGCATGTATTATCGAGCCACCATACCTGACCGCTTCCCAATTTCGATTTTTGGCGAGTTGCTAGATGAGCTGCATGGCGCCACCATTTTTTCCAAACTGGATTTGAAATCAGGTTATCACCAGATACGCCTTAAGGCCGGAGGATGAATACAAATCAGCCTTTCGAACTCAAGATAGGCATTATGAATTTTTAGTAATGATGTTTGGGCTTACTAATGCACCGGCGACATTTCAATCCTTGATGAATAAAGTGCTCAAGGGGTTGTTAAGTAAATGTGTATTGGTTTTCTTTAAAGACATACTAGTTTATAGCCAGACATTGAAGGAGCATTGTGAACACTTAAAGAATGGTGTTTCGGGTCCTATAGGAGCAGAAGTTGCGTGCAAATCGAAAGAAATGTGAGTTTGGTCGCACCACCTTGGAATACTTGATGCACTTAAATCAGCTCAAAAGGAGTCTCAACCGGCCCAAAGAAAATTCAAGACATACAGTCATGGCCGTTGCCTAAGAAATTATCCGATGTATTATAAAACAAATTTTCTTCGCAATATCCCTATCCAAATATCTTCATAAATAAATTCAAATACCATCATTATTTGCTTACGCAAGTGTACATAACACAGATATGTTCTTCAAATTAGAAAATAGGTCAAATGCAAAAATACTCACGATACTAATGAGTTACATACCAAGTTTGTTCACATTAAAAAAGTCAAAAGACCATAGGTAATGTCCCAATCATAGATGTGACCAATGCATTTATCTTGATGTTATCCTATCAACATGTTAATTCCTTCTTAGAACTCGCAGAACGCATTCTAGTGGGAATTTCAAACATCAACACAATCTAGAAAATGATAAACAGAGTATAGGTTGGTAAATGCATTAAAGAGTAAGATCACACATGTACTTATATTCAGCAACTATAAGAAATGTATACTCACATAAAGATCATGCTCTGCATAGTCAAATGCTAGATAAAGTGACATATCGGCGTGATTGATGTGCACATTCGCGAGTTTTACTACGTTCTCATGTGAGATCTCCCGAAGCAACTGCATCATAAAACCCATAAAATATTTTACTACCAAGTGAAAAAAAATCCTAGATTGAAGAAGATTCAGGAAAAAAAAATTTGCTCTCTTTATTCTGTTTTATTACTAAAACAAATGCCAAAAGAAACCAAAGAAGAAAATGAAAGTATTCTCCAACAAAATCCTTTAACTTCAACTGCCAAGGAACCAAGACAAAAATTGCAAAATAATACAGAATATATTGCCGTGTTTCATGAAATATTCTGACCAATCAGAATCCAAAAACCCCACCAACTCTTTCTTCTAAAAATATTTGTTCTTGCCCGGATACCACTTATTTACCAACATTAAGAGCATGCCTGGCTTTGCTTATATCAACAAAAGAAGCCAAAATATGGCTTCTTTATAACTTCTTGTGACAGCATGAATGGTGATACAGCCGAACGAAGCCAAACAGAAAATTTTGCTTCTTTTGTAGATTTAAGCAAAGCATACCAGCTCTAATGAGTTAAAAGAAATTAGTACTCTACCTGCGCATGAATACATAGACATATACAGGTAGACACGTGCACACAGCCACACAAACATGGGGGTTTACCATAATTTCACGAATAGCAGTGGGTGAGACGCCATCGCCATCCTTGGACTGCTTGAACTTCTTGATTGCAATGGGTTTCGAGCGATTCGACTTAACCTTCGCCAAGAAAACCAACCCATAAGTACCCTCCCCGATTTTCCCAATCACATCGTACTCCTCCAGCCACTCAGGCTTGTTACTACTGCTATTGTTGTTAGAATGGGAATTCGGATTATTTGCCCTTCCATCCCCCATGTTCAATATAGTGAATGAATCCAGTAACTTGTTCTTCAATTGGAGCTGTAGCTAATGAAATTGATGAAATTGAAATCCCTAATTTCGGAATCGTTGCTCAAAGCCAATCTGGTGTACTGTTTCGATTCGTTTGATTTCTTCTCTCTGGTTTAGCTATTGCCTGACTGGACAAAAAGTTCAGGTTCGTATTGTTTAACTGAAAATTTTATTTCAAATAGAGCTGAAACAGAGAAACGCGTACTTTCAACTTTTACAAAATTTGTTTAACTGAAAAATTTTTAAAATAGAATTTGTAAGAAGTTTTGAAAACTTTCATTTAAAATAAAATTGGGTAATTGGCACAAATAATCTTTACCTCAAAAATTTATTGTGAAAAACGTTCCCATATTTCATTTTTTGACATTTTCATCCTTACCTTTCACATTTCTTTGCACTGAACATTATTTTCAACAAATTTTAACATAAAATAACCAATATATTTTTCTATTTAAATAAAACAAAAAACGAAAAGAAAAATAAAAAATTTGCAACTATAGGCCCAACTTTTTAAAAAGTGCAAATAACCCACCAAAATAACATCACCTTCTTTCCGTACCTCACCCCCACCCTACCATCACCTGCCGACCATTTTCAGCCACCAAAACCTCTAAATATTGATATCAATGAAAAGCCCTTAATCTCCTCCACAATTACCATCCAACAACTTTCCATAACACCAATTAATCTTGCCGAAATCAACTTTCAAAATCAACCACAGAAAATTTGAAAACTCCCACAATCTTCTCCTCCGGCCACTACCTAGATCGTGAACCCCCATCGGATGATTGGCCAGACCCTGTCAATTATAACCATGGCCTCAATTCAATCACACGTCACACCAACAATCTAAATTTATTCCAAAAGTACCGCCAGTCGCAAACCAGCTTCACCAGTCAAATATTACAGATTTCAGCTCCGTCCGGTCAACACATGGTCTTGGACCACATAGGTTAACCTCGTCTTCCTCTGATTCACCTTGCACAACCATGGGTCAAGATTAATTTCGCCTAGAACAAGTTGAATTCGTGGATGAACTTCGGACCTTATGCGAAAAATTTATGCGAAAAATTCATAACCAAGGAATTTGATGGATATATGGTACTCCAAATGTTCAATTAGAACCTCGATAGATAATGGAAAATCCATGGGTCATCAAACAATTGAGCTAATTTACAACACAAATGTTGGATTCAACTATAATCAAATTCGATTGCACAATGGAAACTTTTCAGCTCCAATTGCTACTTCTTCAAATATCTTTGCTCCATTTATGGAGAGTTGTTGGGTGGTAATTCTGGAGGAGGTTAAAGGCTTTCCATTGATGTCAATATCCAGTAGTTTTGGTGGCTGAAAGGTGGTTGAAAATGACCGACAGGTGACGATGGAATGGCGGTGAGGTGTGGGAAGAAGGTAAAGTTATTTTGGTGGGTTATTTTGCACATTTTAAAAAGTTTGGGCCTAAAGTTCCAATTTATTTTTTTATTTTTCTCTTTATTTTTTTGTTTTATTTAAATATGAGAGTATATTGGTCATTTTATGTTAAAAATTGGTGAAAATGATAATCAACGTAAAGAAAGATGAAAGGTAAGGGTGAAAATGCAAAAAAAAAAAAAAAAAAAAAAAAAAAAAGAAAGGGAAGGGGGAAAAAAAAAAAAAAAAAAAAAAAAAAAAAAAAGAAAGGTAGTAATATTTTCCATAATAAATTTGAAAGGTATAAACATTTTGTGCCAATTACCCAAATAAAATTAATTTTAATTCTCACATAAGAGATGAAGAATTGAGATTCCTATGTAATAAAAATTACTTTTAAAAAATAAAAAATTTAAGTTGTCATAACTAAATAAATAAATAATCAAAATGCATAGAAAATATACTTATATAATATTTCAAGTATTTTTTGAGTTAAACAAATAAATAATCAAACTACCTACAAATATATTTATATAATATTTCAAGTATTTAAAATTTAATTATAAAATTAATATTTTTAATATAAAATTTGATTATAAATTGATCTTTCAAATAAATAATTGGATGATGAAAAAGGAAAAAAAAATATGTTACAAGAATTTTTAATTGCAATTTAATCTTTTTTGATAGAAAATGAAGAGAAACGACAAAAAGGAGAGAAAAGAAAAAAAAAAAAGGAAAAAAGAAAAAATGTAACAGATGGGAGAACAATAATAAACTTTAAATCATAGCTCTTAGATTCCTAGAAGAAAAGAATAATGGAATATTAAGAGGACGAAAAATAAATATTAAAAAAAAATCTTCTCCGTAAGTCTTCCAAAATGTTGGGGGTGAACAATAGACTTTTTTTTTTTTTTAAATCTTTTTTTCTACTTTTTGCTTACAAGTTAGTATTCTAGAGACTTCTATAAAATTCTTTAAAAGTTATTGACATTTTGTATACAACATAATGACTTATAGCCCATGTCTGATGCTCGTTTTTGGGGTAAAATATATTATGGAATATTGATTTTCGGAGAAATTGTCGTAAAAAAAATGAAATTTTTTTGAAATATGTTTATAATTATTTTATGAGAGAATTTGCGATTTAGTTTCAAAAAAATGCATTCTTGAAAAAATGGGGGCTCAAACATGCCGTAAATAAATCAATTTTTTTTCAAAGTTTTAAAATGTCTACATTGAGCCCTTGTTTGAGTCCCATTTTTCATCAAAATACATTTTTCAACAGTGATTTGACATCATTTTAATTACACATTTTTTAATAAAATAATATTACAAGCAAATTCAAAATTTTTCCTTATTTTTTAACCATACATTCTCCATCATAACGCTATTTCAAAATGCATTTTTTTGAGAAAAATTGAGATCAAACAACCCCTAAATATCTACAAACTTTTAATAATCCTTAAAAATCCCAAAAAATATTTAAAATTCTCAATTGAATGCACTCTCCTAAATAATTTTCTTACGATAATTAAAAAATCTCCAATCTTTTTGTCATATTCTTATTTTTAACATTTAAATAATTAGCACATCATATCATTGATTACAACTTTTGTTCTAATATTCTGTTGGCGTTCTTTGAAACAAAGGGCAAATATTTTATTTATTTGTTTATATATATATATATATAGAAGTTGATAATATAAATACGGTGAAAATAAATTTTGAAGACATAATAAAAGTGATAATGAATATATATTGGAAACCTAGCCCCTGTTTGGCTCCACTATTTGCAAAATTAAAATTCATTTTTATGCCTTTAGTGTGTCCCACTTTTACCTTGTAGTGAAGGAAGTCAGCAATCACGACAGCTAATGTCAATATTTCATTAAAATTTGAATGAAAGATACCAGCAAACAGGTCCTAATTAAAATGTAGTGCAGCAAGAACCTTCAACGTGATTATAAATACCCTATTTTAAAATGTCGCATATGTAACAAACCATGGAATGAGTGACAATATAACCACTCTTATTTGTAATATTTGATTAAGCCCATGTTTGATACAAATTTTTTTAAACTTATTTTTAACTACATATTCTTCCGATAAATAATTTTTCACGTGGACCAAAATATTTGCTGCTTTTTAAACACACATTCTTCAAAAAGAAATCATTTTTCACAAGATCTATTCTCAAAAGAAATTATATCAAATAGGACTTGAAAGTTAAACTCCACTGGTTGCCATCGTGCCAAGTGATCTATAATTTTTTTCGTTCTATAACTCTTTTATTTTATATTTGAATTATAAAGTCTATAACTATTATTAAAAAAAAATGTTTCAAAAAGCAACATATTTTGTATAATTTATAGAACGATAAAATATCATGTCTAATGGGCTATTTACTAGCTTCATTCTCAATATTATAGAGAGCTGATCTTCTTTTTTAAGATTTCAATAAGCTTTCCACATTTAAAACCTGAAACTAAAATAGAATATTTGATCTCCAAATTTAAAGAGTTAATCTCACTCTTTTTATAATATACTAGTAAGGAAATGTGTGTAACACATTAGTTGGGTTAGTTGGGTGAACGTGAAATATAAGTGTGTGGTGATTGTTGAATGGATATGTAGAACAAATGTTTTGGTGTAGTAATGCATGTACGGCGATATAAAGTGAAATATTTTGGAAGAAGACGAGGTTATATTTGAGTTAAGAAATGTTGCATTATTGTTTAATTCTAAAGAATTAGAAGTTATTAGAAATGCGGATGGAGAATATAACTAAATAAGAAAGTAAACATAATTAGATTTAGAACAAACTACAATAGATTAACAATGAAAATGCAAGAAAATATTTTTAATACATAGGAATAAAACTAAAAGTTAAAATTGTCATAGACGTATCAAACTTCCATTGGTGTGGTCTTTTTTTGTAGACTATAAACTTTGGAGGTTCGTTATTCAGTAGTTCAAACATGCACATATCACTCATCCGTAGTTGTTTCTCTATAAGAAAATTTGTCCAACCTATTGTAAGACACCGAATTACACAAGTCAGTCTTAAATTTGTAGTAATATCCCAATTATGATGCAAAGAGTCATGGATTTGAACTTTGCGCACAAATTTTAGCAAATTGATGTATGACAAATTTATCGGGTGTCTACTGTAAAACGAATTTATTGATTCAAATTGAAAAATAAGTGGAAAATGAGAATATAGAATGAGAAATTAAAGACAAAACCTACAATTTTCAATGGTCGTTGTGATGAAGTGTTAGTGCTACTTCAAATACGGGATTATCTGTATGTGAAATGTCCTCTTCTTCTTTAGGAGCTTCGGAGTTGTACGTCACATCTAACCCAGAATTGTCGAATATGGTAATATTGAATGTGGAATTTCCATTATATTGAAATATTAGAACATAACCATATTGTAAATTATGATGGTCAAAAAATTGCTCCCATCCATCAGCTAGATATATTTTTCCATCAACTCTTTCTAATCTTATAGTAGAAATTATACCATCATATGCAATTAATCGTATTGTATCACCAAGTTCGTGTCTTGAGTCATTGACAAAAGATGTAGGAAGCATCTCATATATGTGTGTGTGTGTGTATATGTGTGTGTGTATGTATACCAAAATGGCCCAAGAGAAAGGAGGAAACAAAAAAATAAATTCAGCGATCAGAGATTTTTGAACAAGAAAAATTTTATTGATGAAACTTTGATATGATTACAGAATTG